AGAGAAGTGAAAATTCTCGTGTCGTTATTAGGGACAATGACTCTACTCATTTTGACTAATATTACGATATGGGATTCTGACATTGATATTCTTAAAAATAGTGATATCATTATGGAGCACATTCAGAAAAATGTCATATCAAATTCTTCAGTCCACACAATTTTCTTGTGTTATTCAAGTTCTAATGTTACAAAAATATACTGTTTTTTTAATGTATTTCTTCAATAGAGGTTTCTCCATGATAAATACAAACAGATTGTCAACATTGAGTAATGTAATTTTGACAGTAAAAGATCAAGCAAAAGGATGAAAGAAAATAACCAATAAAACACGTATTTCTCTGTAGAATCATGCAATCGATCAATTATATGGATCTTTTATGTGGTTGATGTCAAAACTTGCCAGATGTTCGATCGAAAGTCGTTCGTGTCTTTCTCAGTTCAACATTTTCAAGTTGAATAACTAAATAGCAACTTACTGACATTGAATAATTTTTTGGCTTAAAATAATATTTAGATACACTAAATGAACGTGATTCATTAATTGAAACTGTTTTTCCTAAATTCAAAGATTATTGTCGTGAAAAATACGGTCTTGAATTTCAGATTTACAACGAAAGATATTCATTGATTCATTCAATCATTATTCTCTCATTTGGAGTAGGCTGATATGCGTTGGAGAATTTAATTACAATTAAATAATAGTCATACTGAAGTTGAAGCATATCTAAATGAAATTGAAATATGCAAAAAATATTCACTAGCTACAAATTTTCTGATCAGTTATCATTAATTATTTATTCAAATTATTGATTCAACAATTTCCTACATAGGTTCTCTTGAGTCATCGCTATGGATCTCGACCAACACCATCAACAATTCGTAGATTTCTATTTGAATTATTGCTCGAAATTATTCGTTCAAATTCGAATGATGATGATGCTAAACTACTTTCACAATGGTATCAACTTGATACAAATCAAATACCGGCTGCTTATGTACTTCGTTCGATTTCATCATCATTTTCAAATATATTATCTCCCGTAGTATTCATAGAATTTGATTGAAAATGAAATTGATGTCTAACTTTCATCTTAGAACACAAATGAAATGAAATAAAGTTCATTGGACACCGATGGATATCAATCGAAAAGATCATGCCGAATATATAACTCGATTCAATGATGATTTTTATAAATGCAATCAAACAACAAATTGATCAATGTATTCAATCACATATTTTAATCGATTCTGATCCATTACAACATGAATATATTGGAACATGCAATCTAATGTAAAACATTACATTTAATATTTAATAGAATAGTGGAGAAAAATATTTTTATGTTG